GTTCTATCTGAACAGCTAGAAGCAAACGCAAAAGCCTGCAGTCAGGGCTTATGGAAGGTACAAGGTGAGACTAGGTTCAGGCAATAGGCAGACCCCAAGCTATGCTGAGCTACAGGAGGACTCTAAGACTTTCCTAACAACCATCCGAGGAGTGGGGAGTCTATGAGATCTTTAGAGCAGTTGGGTCCTGCTGTTGCTTAGGAAAAGATTTCCCTCTCTGCCATATAATAAACCTGAACCTTGAGTCCAAGATAATATCACCTGCTGCAGGGAAAAAGAAAGCTCACCGAGAGAAAGCCCAGATGAAAGAAAAAGAAGCTCCAACTGCTAAGCCTTCTGGGTCAGCTGCACTGCTGGGCATATCATACACACCAACCCTGCTTGAATAGACAGGGGTAAGGCAGGGTCTGTCTTGGACCCAGTTCTGTCCTCCCACTGACCATGCCCAAGAAGGTACGTATGCTCCAACTGGGAAGTAAAATATCTAGGAAGGAAACATGCCATGAAAATTACAAATGATATTCCTGGAAGCTGTGTGGCTTCTGGGTGAATTCCTTTTCTGGCTTGAGGTTACAAAGTACGGTTATATTCTACCTTTGCGTACATATGATTCGAGGAGAGGGAGATAGGTATTACGGGGAATGAGGTAGTGTCTTTCCAATTCTGAGGAACATACTAGGAACAAAGGATGCTCACCCTCTAGATTAGTGCTGGGCATGTGACTAAATGTGTTTGCTTGGTAGTAGTTGGATGGTCCATTTTCACTATCTTTTACATATGAAGTCTTTCTTTCTACCTGTCTTTTCTCCCTTAACAATTTTCTACTATGACCCTTTCTGTTGCCAGAGGAAGCTTGTTGATATCCCGGCTGCCCAGACTCCTGAAATAATCACCAGAAACTATATTATTTAAATCACTGCTTTGCCAATCACTTAAGCATATTGCTAGCTAGCTCTTATATCTTTGGTTAACCCATTTATTTTATTTTATATTTTACCACGAGACTCTTGGCCTACCGGCAAGGTTCCAACTGACAGTTTGCACCTCTCCCCTCTGGTGGCTTCCTGGCTTCTCTTTGACTCTACCTTCTTTCTCCCAGCATTCAATTTAGTTTTCCCACCTAGCTCTATACTGTTAAGCCACTGGCTGAAACACCACTTTTTCCTTCCTCATTCCATCCACCTCTATCACTTGTTTTGTGCTCTGATGCATGGTAATAGTATGTCAACAGAGGATCCAGAGCAGGTGAAGGAAACTTACATTGTTGCAGCTTAAATGTTGGACAGAAAAGTCACTGTGCATAGTGATTCACAAATACTGACTTTCCTATCCTCACATGAATGGGCTTTGCAAAAGACCCTACTGTGCTCGGTGTATCCTGCAAACATCCTACAGATGTCGTCTAACTTTTTGTTTCATTTTTCTCATCTATGAAATGGAAGTCACTGTCTAAAAAACTGTCAGGAGGACTAATTGTGCAAATTCTGTAAAACACCTGGCGCAAGTGCCACAAAGTCATTTCTCAATCAAGCTAACTTAGAACCATTAGTATAGGTTTTCTTAATATTCAGAAAAAATGAAATATGAAAATGAAAAATGGTATTTTCAAGGTGATACAAATAATTTGTGATATTTTGAGATATTTTTTAAATGGGTTTGAATTCTGGATTTGCAACTTTCTTTCTTGGACTTCATATACCTCACTGCACATCCTCACTAATTGATGCTTGTCCCTGTAGCATGTCTAAGCATGTCCTCGCTAAGTGGAGCTCTTCCCTGTAGCATGTCTAAGCATGTCCTCGCTAACTGACGCTCTTTCCTGTAAAATGTCTACTAGGGGCTTGTACTACCTACCACAGGGTGGCAATCTAGTCTAGTGACTTCTTTCTCCTGCTGCTTGTGATGAGTCTCACAAGGGGATAATTCATTTTCCCTTTCTTTCAAAGTGTTTTGTGAGAATCCCTAAGCAGAATAGAAAGGTATTATCTGGACAGTATCTGACAAAATGAGGGAACTGAGGAAAATAAGCTTTAGAAATAAGGAACTTAGGGCTAGGAAAACAATTCAGTTGGCCAGGAGCTTGCTTTGCAAGCATGAGGACATGACTTTGATCCCCAGAACCCGCATTTTAGCAAAAGTTGGGCATGGGTAGTTTCAGACTTATAATCCTGGCTCTAGGAGGGAGGGGTGGATAGATTCCAGACTTTGTGACCAGGAGTGGTGGATAGATTCCAGGCTTTGTGACCAGGAGTGGTGGATAGATCCCAGGCTTTGTGGCCAGGAGTGGTAGATAGATCCTAGGCTTTGTGGCCAGGAGTGGTGGATAGATCCTAGGCTTTGTGACCAGGAGTGGTGGATAGATCCCAGGCTTTGTGACCAGGAGTGGTGGATAGATCCCAGGCTTTGTGGCCAGGTGGGGAGTCTACTTGAGCACTTCCAGGACAGTGAGAGACCTTGTCTCATAAAAAGTTGTTTGCGGATGGGGTGGGGTGCGGATGTGAAGATGGCTCAAGGCTCAGTGGTATGGATCATTGTTTGCTCTTGAAAGGGACCTGGTTTTGGTTCCAGGAACCAACACTGCAGCTGTCTTAGTTTGGGTTACTGTTTCTGTATTGAAACACCATGAAGGAAGACAACATGGGGAGGAAAAGGTTTATGCCACTCACGGTTCCATGTAATAGTTCATCACGAAAAGCAGCGAGGGCAGGAATTCAAATAGGGCAGGAGCTGATGCCCACTCCATGGAGGGGTGTTGCTTACTGGCTTGTTCTTCCTAGCTTGCTCAGCCAGCTTTTTTCTAGAACCCAAGACCACTATGGTGTCCGGGGTAGATACACACACAATAAGCTGAGTCCTCCCACATCAATCACTAAGAAAATGTCCTACAGGCTTGCCACAGCCTGATCTTATGAATACATGTTCTCAGTTTAGGGTCCTTCCTCTCTGATGACTCTAGCTTGCGTCAAGTTGACATAAAACTAACCAGTGCACCTGACCCCTTGTCAACTGGCCATAAAACATATCACCTTTCAATTAGAACCTTTCCTTCCTCATTTACCCTCAATATGGTACATTAATATTAATATCACAATATAAAATGCACGTAACTTTAAAAGTCAGACAGTCTTTACAAATTCAAACACTTCAAATTTTCAGTGTCTTTAATATAATCTAATCTCTTTTAAAAATCCAAGATCACCTTTAAAAGCACAAAGGCTTTCAACTGCAGGGCCCTGTAAAAATAAGAATTAGGTTAAATTCTTCCTTCAAGAGGGAAGAACCAGGGCACGGTCCCAGTCTGAGTAAAGCAGAACCAAATTCCACCAGTGTAAAGAACTCAATGTCCAAGTATCTGAGGTTAACTCACAATCTTCCGGGCTCCTCCAAGGGATTAGGGTCATTTCCCCAGCTCTGCCCTCCCCAGCACATACAAATTGCTTTCTAAGCTCAGGCTGGCTTCACTCTACGGCTGCTTCTGTTCTTGGTGGCCGTCCCAGGGTACTAGCATCTCCCACACTGTGGGGGTCTCTTGCTGCCACTGCACTGCACTTTCACCAATAGCCATTCCTAGGCTCTCATCAGGGTCTCCCACACTGCTAGACAATGCCATCTCTCAGCTGCTCTTCATAACCCTTTTATGCCTTCAAAACCAGTGCCACCTGGGTCACGCTTAAGCTACCAAGTTAAGCTGCCAGCCTGAGGTACAGTCTTGGCGGTGTCTAAAACTGTGAGCTAACACTGAAGACTACATTTCCCAGAAGACATCGCCTCAAGGATGTTGTCTCTTCTTAATGACAGCTGATTCTTCAGGCCCAGCTGACCAGCATCCAGTGTCCCAACAAAGCAAAGGTTTTACTTTAGTGGTTTTGATATCTTCTTAATCATGGCTAATTCTTTTGCTACAGCTGACCACAGATTCTTCACAGAAAAAGCCTGACAAGGCCATTGTTTCCCTGTGAAACTTCACAAACCAGGCCTTCAGCATCTGTACTATTCTCAGCAATCTTATCTTCCACGATCCTATAGAACAGCTTACTGAGCTCTCAATACTCAACGGCATCTCTAGCCCCAAATTCCAAAGTATTGCCATAATCCTCCCCAAAACAACATGGTAAAGTCTGTCACAGAAATACCCAACCATCCTGTTACCAATATGTCCAGTTTGGGCGGCTACTGCTGTGATGAAATGCCATAACCAAGTGCAACATGGTCAAGAAAGAGTTTATTTCATTCACAGTTCCATATAACAGCTCATCGTCAAAAGCAGTGAGTGCAGGAACTTACATAAAGCAGGTAGCTGGAGGCAAACTAATGAAGAAGCCATGGAGGACACTACTTACTGGGTCACTCCTCATGACTTATTCAGGCTGCTTTCTTACACATCCCAGGACCACCAGACCAGGGACGGCTGCACCCATAATGGGATGACCCACCCCCCAAATCACTAATTAAAAATGTCCTAAGGCTTGCCACAGCCTGATCTTATGGAGCTATTTTCTCAATTGAGGCTCCCTCCTCTCTGAGGACTCCAGCTTGTTTCAAGAATAAATAAAGCTAGTCAGTTCAATAGTTGACAACCATTCTCCAGGTGATCCAATGCTTCTTTATGACCTCCATATGCACCAGGTTCACACATGGCACACATACATTCACGAAAGCAAGGCCCTCACACACACAAAGTAAGATAAATCTTTTGATTCATCAGTAGATAAATAGAAAAGGTGGATAGCAATGAGTAACTCTGAGGGTGTTCTCTGTCTCCATATGCATGTCCCCCTGTCCCAGGGAAATCCAGAGTATTAGAATTCTCCCTCGGTGCATAATCTGAAAATCCATGTGTTTGTAAAAATTATTAAGCAAATCCTAGATTTCTGGACACAAGGAAATGTCTATATCCCCATATGACTTGGATGATTACTACTGTGGCTGTAGACTTGGTTGAGGACCAAATGACAGAACTAATACTATTATGAACTTCAAGTCACAGTTGAATTACTTACGTCCATCTATGGTTCTGGCCTCAAGATGCACAAGGTCTGGATCTTTGCTCGACCCCATCACAGACCTATAAAATGGAGAAACATGAAAAGATAACTTGACATTAATAACTTCACAGGTGTCTCAGTGAAGACCATAGACTGTTAATAACCCCAGGTTTCTGAGCAGACCACAATCCTGATAACGCGGCAACGAAATTTCCACTTGAAATAAAAATAACAATGCATCCTTTATTTGTCTAAAGCCACGGTGAACTCTGGCAAGGATACCATGTGCCCTTTAGCTGAGACTTCAAAGTATGTCCTACCCATGGAATGCACACACCCTTATTATCCCATTACCGACGTCATGCAGTCCTGGATGGCCCATCAGGAAGATGTCAGGCATACAGCTTTAGATAGTTGGCTTGCATAGAGATTCACAGAGAAAACTGATTGAATTAAAGTTTGCCACTTGAAATTTACAAAAGTTTGTGAGCTTCTGTGTATATCATGTGACCCAAGCAGTTCAAAAACACCTGTAGCAGAGTGACCATTCTCAGCAGCGTTGGACCAATGTCAATAAAAAAAAATGCAGAGTCACCTCACATTCTAATATGTCCCAAATCCATATATTGATGTAAAAAGAAATCCTGTTTTATACCCCGTCAGAGACCATACTGAATGGAAAGGATTATTCTCTTATATAAATAAGACAGGCAATCACGCTTTATCCCCAAATTTTTATAGAACAGAATCACTTAAGTATAAGTAAGTACATTTGTGCTTCGTTTTAAGCAGGATTCCAAGAAATTTAATTGGTTCAACTTCTATAAAGGAAAGAGTCATATGCTGTTTTGCTGTATGCCCCCAGCCATTCAACCCAGCATTCTTGAATACGCAGAGTTCAAAAGCGTACCTCAGTTCAGGACACGACAGAGAGTCTCAGACTGCAAATGGCGGGCCTCCTCTCACCCCACTGCCTCCTCACCAGACACACTAAGTCATTTTACCAATCCTAAAGTGCCACATCCATTACACAGTGCTCTGTGAGCCTCTCAAGGGTTCTGCTTGCAGTTTAGAATGTTCTGCTCCAGCTTCATCGTAGCTCACGAGCTCTTTTCAGAGACACAATTGAAAGGCCACTTCTGCTAGGTATACCCAACTTATAATGATGATTGCATTTCCTATAAACAAATACTTGTTTTATGCAAATTCTCTAAAATATAACTTATATTTTTCATAAATAGTTATTTGTGTGTTTTCCCAAGTGTGAGAATAGCCTGTTAATCTCACCAATTACATTCATACATAAAACCCAGGGATGCAGAAATACATGCATAGCCCCCCCTCCCACATACATAGGTGAACACAATAGCTACTGGAGGAATTTTGTTTTAAACCATTTACTTGTCCTATGACAGGAAAATTGTAAATTGTGGAATTGAAAAAAAATGGTGAGGGATGGGGAACAAGGAAGAAAAAAAGAAAAAGCAATTAAAAGAGGGAGGGAAAAGGAGAATGAAGAAGTACAAAGATCTGCAGATCCTTTGAAAGAAGTGAATTAATCAATGTCTTATGGGCATTCTCAGAACTTTTTCTATTTGAATTCATTTTCACAATTCAGAAAGTCTGGGGCCTCACTAGCTTAGCTGTTCTTCATTTTTACAAAAGCAGGCTCCTTATGGACCGATTAAAATCACTGCCAGTAAGAGTTCTCTGATGGATACATGCTCTGGAATTCAAAATCTATGCTCTAAACATTAATTCCCACTTTCTTCTCCCAGGAAGCAGACATTTCCTAATAAAGCTTTTATCATTTTGCTCAAAGTAACTTGTAACATGAATTTGAACATTTTGCATCAGTGGAAATAGCTTGAACACATGCAGAAAGTGAACCCTCCACTCCATTTTAGTTAAATACTATGGCGACTCTCGTTCATAAGCATAGCTCTCCGTCTCTCAACACTGAGAGCATGCCCAAATCCACGGACCGATTCTTCAGACAAGATTTCAAGTCACAAGCATAAAATACAAAAATGAGGGGTTGAGAAAGTGGCTCATTGGGTAAGAGACTTTGCTTTGAAACAGAAAGAACTGAATTTGAGTTCCCATCACCCCTGCAAAAAGTTAGGTTAGGTTCACATGCATAAACATCCACAACATTGGCAAGGAGAAAAGGAGGTGCAGGGAGCCCAGTGGTAAGGCCAGCCTAAGCTACATGGGCAAGCTTCTTGGTTAGTAAGAGACCCTGCCTCAAGGCAATATGATTGAGAGTAATAAAAATATACAGGATGATGAAAATCAGTGGTTCAGGATTGTTAAAACGGAGGTTCAAATTACCTTGTCTGTCGGATTAATGTGAATTTTTCTCCTTTATGAACTAATTCTTCAGATCTATGACCATGCTGGTATATCTGCCTGGAATCCCCCAACCTCACCCCTCTTCTCCCTTCACTTCATTTCTGGGACACTGCTACAGAAGAATGTAAACATATTTTCTCACTTTAAGTGACACATAAGAGAGTCAACCATCTCTCCAAGACTTCTAGAAACACACCTATACTTCAGAATTTTTTAATGCAAAAATAAGATTTCCAGGAACATGTAGTAATAGGAGAGGCAGGGCTGCATCCCCAGCACCCTAGCTGCCTGCTAGCTTATGCCCCGAAATAACAACACACAAATTGTATTCATTTAAACACTGCTTGGCCCTTTAGCTCTAGCCCTTACTGGCTAATTCTGATATCCCAATCAACCCATCTCTAATAATCTGTGAGCACTGGTCTTACCAGGAAGATTCTAGCCTATGTCCATCCTGGGTTGGAGCTTCATCGCGTGTGTCTGCCCGGGAGCGGGGTGTGGCATCTTTGCTCCAGAGAGCAGAGCTGTCCATCTGAGCTCACTTCCTCTTCCTCCCAGCATTCTGTTCTGTTTACTCCACCCACCTATGTTCTAAGCTATGAGCCCAAGCAGTTTGTTTATTACTTAACCAATGAAATCAAAAGATTGATATATGACACTCCCACATCAGGAACATACACACAAATTCCTGGCATGATTGGCTGGTCGTACAGGCCTCTTGAAAGCCTAAGGCTAGCAGGATCCAGACTAGGTTGGTCAATGTGAGCCATAAGGAACGTTAGCAAATGGCTGACTAAGCCCAAGTCTGGTAGCTGTTGAAGTCTTAGGTTTAATTCTGAGAACCCTACCCCATATATCCTCCTGTTATAGAGCAAGGACTCAGAAAATAATGCTGATTTTGTCCTTTTCTGACATTCCATTTTATTTGAAGAGATGATTAGGGAAGTTAATAATCACCCATGAAACCAAATTCCATGTGGCCATAATAAACTCTTTTGGGTATCATGGTTGCCTACTAACAGAAATGATATATAAAAATTATTTGTTTTCATATGTCAATAGTCAAAAATAATAAAGTCAATATATAATACAACTTGGTTAGCATGCGTTTACCTCTGGGTGCAATCCTTAGCAATGAGAATAATAAGAATAAATATATCATCACTCAAATGGAAGAATGGCATCTCCTGCCTCTGTATGGACCTTGAGGGAAACTGAAGAGAAAGCATATTGGCCATTCTAAAAATGTGCCACTGATAAAACCATGAACAAGTCTGTAGTTGCCTAGCACTTCCGTGCTCCTGGTATCTCAAGTTGGTGGTCCCATTGAGAGCTTTCAGCATAAAACTCAAGGCTCACCAGAGCTGAGGCTATGAAGAAAACTAAATCTAGCCTGACATGATACACCACGAAGCCTAGCAGTGTGGTATCAGTCCTGTGAAATACCACCAGCCCAGTGCAGCCTTCGTAGACATTTTCCACATAGGAACTTGGAAATGTCACTGGTTTATCATTCTCCTGGCATTTTATCTGAGTTTATCCCACTTTAATATAGTTCTTAATAAATGCTGCAGAGCCACAAAATGTCCTCAAGTAGATAACTATAGAGCAAGTATTAAAAAATACTGTGACTGGATAGCACCTACTTATTCCGATTTAGAAATGCTTTTTACAGAGTACAGGGTCTGCAGGGAAACAGAGGCTGCTGGGGAAGGAGATTGCTGCTTTCCTTTTCTTTATTTTAATGGAGGAATCGTGTATCCCCAGAAGCTCTCCCTAAACACTGCCTTGGAAGCAAGCAATCCTCTCTGCTACAGACAGAGGAAGCCGTGTGCCTGGCAGACATTAGCAGTAGGACTCCTTGATTTCCTTCTGTAAAGCCAGGGCTGGCTCTTCCCATGACATGATAGTTTCTAATGCAAACATCATCAGAAACGTGGCTACAGCCACAACTTTTATTGTTGAACAAGGCAACTGAGGTCTCATCTGCTGTGCAAGCAGGAGAAACAAGCCGTGTGAAAGCGAGGATGCCCGAAAGTCATTTTTACCTTCTATCTCCAGAGAGACACGCTTTCTTCTTGCTTCCTTTAGTCTAGAGCTCACTCTGCCACACTGTTTTCCCGGTAACAAAACTACCTCCCATGAACAACAAATAAAGAAACAAATGAGCAGACAAGACAAATAAAAACAATTGTTAGTTCCAACGTGAAATGACATATTGAGAAATCAGAATAGACAGCAACCTTAAGCTTCCCAAGTTCAAAGTCTGCATCTTGTCATCTGTATTCCTCAACCCAAAAGCCTATTTACACAGAGGCTGTTTTATATAAATTGTGTGTGTGTGTGTGTGTGTGTGTGTGTGTGTGTGTGTGTGTGTGAAAAGACAAAGGGAGGAATGGGTATCTGATGAAGAGTGCAGTTTCATATAGCTGAGAATGGTAATGACAAGGTGAAGATGTTTGTTGCACAAACCGCTTTGTAGAAGTAAAGCTTTCAGTGTAAAATTTTGTTGGAAGGAAACAACTTGCCTCAAGAGCCCAATGTCTTGCTGTGTATCTTGACTTTATATAATACGATATAGCAGAAGGTGAAGGGAACAACAAATGATTTCTTAGTGAAGAATAACCAAAGGTTGATTCAACACGAAATGTAAGGGGGACCTCAGGCATGTTGGGAAGCACTCACTAGTGAGACACTGCACAGATTCACTGCTGGTTTTCTGAAT